TCTTCTGCTTCTTATTTCCGCAATACTGGGCTAAGAACATAGTGCACAAGGTCTCATAATCAGGGATAGACTTGTGTGGCCGATTCCTGAACCATTCTAACGCTGTACCGGTTAAACTGGTAGGAAAAACCTTACACATCCACGGATCGTTATGATCGTCCAATGCCATCTTTTGCGCATAATGATCGAGATGTCGAGAGGGGTCTCCTGCCCCATCGAACTGGGTGAAGGATGGCATAGTGAACTTCTTTGGTCTCTCCACAAGGTACACATCGTCAGCAAAGGGGGTCTTGACCAAGGAGTTCTTGTGCTCTCTAGCCATCTCGGCTGGTGTCTGAACTCTTAATAGCTTCTTTTCGTCGAAGGCATCTTGTACGCGTGCGCCGTCTGGAACGCCATTGGACTATACCGTAAGCCTATGGCTGGACTCGGCCTGTTCGTCCTGTGTGCGGCACGGGAGATTATCCAAAGCAACCGCCTCGGACCTCGTCCCTTGCTTTTGCTGAACCTCATTAGGTCGAGCCCCGTTGGGTGGTGTCCCGTTGGCCGGAGGCTCGTGAACTGGAGGTAAATTCTAGGTGGGGGGGTGGTGCTGCAGCATCGCCTGGTGGTGGTTGTGGCGTTAGCCTGGCCATTGCCGTGTGCAGCGTATGAGTCTGCTGCTGAAGCGCAGCTATTTGGGCGACGCTCGTATCGTTTGCTTGCCGGAGTGTCTCAAATTGGTACAAGAACTCCTCTCGCATCTTTTGCATCAATTCTATCTGTTGATTCATTGCTGACTCTCCGTTTGACATTCCAGATACGACTAAGGATTTGATTTGAAGAACAAGTGGGAGTATATTTTTATACGTTTCCCACAGACGGCGCCAAAGTGTAGGTGCAAAATTTCGCTCAACCAATAATGATTGAGAAAAATAAAACAACACACTCAAAAAACAATAAGAATAAATAAGAACAGTGTATAGAGAAGCGTAGAATTGCTTGATCCTTTTATTGGAAGTCTGAGCCCCTATATATACATAAAAGGGTGGTTGAATTAAGGTAGGACTCGCATTGCTTGTCCTCCAATTCTTCCTATACAGAGTTTCTTTACAAATAGAGCTTTTCCCTTGTATAACTTTCTATACGTATTACTTGCCTTGTACAGAACTTCCTATCTCAGAATTTTCGTTCTACAGTAAATCCTTCAACTGGTAGGACTTGTGCATTCTTGAATAACTGGGCTGAACATATTTTGATCCGGCTGGGCTTGAGTAATGGACCGGATGTTAAATATTAACAAGTTGGGCTGATGACCTCTTGATTCGGCCTTGATGGAGGTTGGAGGACAAATAACGATGGTTTTGGGCTGTAAATACCCTCAATTTGGGCTTGAGCATGATGGGCCTTATATGTCCTTGGAATGTAGATATGTGTAGTGGTGACGTGTGCGCTTTTTATTGGAGGGAGTTTTTTTCCCTCCACAGTCTTACAACAGAAGCTTTCAATACCATGATTTACATTGCTGTGGAAGCAAAGGATTTTGGGCTGGTTGAAGAATTGGTAGAGGAGATGGAAAAGAACTCGTGTGAGAAGGATATCAAGACATGGACCATTCTCATATCATATTTTGGAAATGCAAAGTTAGTTGGAAAGGCCTTGTTAATCTTTGAGAAGATGCGGAGATCTGGTTTTGAGCCTGATGAGGTGACTTACAAACTGATGATCCGTTTACTTTGTACTGCTGAAAAGGCCGAAATTGCAATGGAGTTCTACAGGGAGATGATCCATAAGAACATGGGGCTCAATATGAGATTGTATATATTACTATTGAGGTCCTTAGCAAAATCAGGAGATATTGCCTCAGTTCAATTTGTTGCAAATCAGATGATAGAGGTTTTTAAGATTCCGGAACATGATGTATATGCTTCTGTCTTGAAGAGCTTTTGCATTGCTGGGAGAATTAGAGAAGCCTTAGAACTGATTCGCTACCTGAACGATAAAAATATAATCCTTGACCCTGGAAATTTCGAAACATTGGTGAAAGGACTGTGTAGGGCTGACAGGATTGCTGATGCTCTGGAAATTATTGATGTCATGAAGAAAAAGACTGCTGTTGATGGGAATATATATCGAATTGTTATTAATGGCTACTTGCGGAGAAATGATATTGATAAGGCATTTGATATGTTTCAAAGCATAAAAGAATCTGGGCAATTACCTGCAACTTCCACTTATACTGAGCTGATGCAACATCTTTTCAGGTTGAATGAGTACCAAAAAGCCTGCAAGCTATATGACGAGATGCTGGAGAAAGGAGTTAAGCTAGATAGCGTGGCTATTACTGCTATGGTTGCTGGTCATATTTGCCAAAACTGTATTCCTGAAGCTTGGGAAGTGTTCAACAGTATGGAGGAAAAAGGCATCAAGGTGACGCGGAAATCTTATTCCATATTCATCAAGGAGCTTTGTAAAATTTCAAGGACGGACGAGATTTTCAAGGTTTTGGATAAAATGCTGGCCTCCAAAATAACTATTGGAGAAAATATTTTCCATTTAATTAAATCCTATTTTGAGAAAAAAGGAGAAATGGAGATGATAGACAAAGTAAAGCAGATGCGGAGAGCCTGTAAACATAACCCACAAGAAGGTGAGGTTTTTAGAAAGGATGTATCAATTGGAGGGGAATTAAATACAGAGTTGAGCTCTAACCGAATAGAGCCAAGGAGGGTGGATTTTCAGGTGGTGGAGCCGCTTTCAAAACCTTATAGGAAGCAGGATCTGGAAGAAATTTGTAGAATTTTGTCTTCATCAAGGGGCTGGTGCTTAATTCAGGAAGCATTGGAGAAATGCACCATTCAGTTCACACCTGAACTTGTTGTGGAGATTTTGCGAAATTGCAGTCTGCATGGTCATTCTGCATTATGTTTTTTCTCATGGTTAGGAGAGCAAGCTGGTTATAGCCACACTACAGAAACTTATAACATGGCCATCAAAATAGCTGGACGCGGGAAGGATTTTAAACACATGAGAAGCCTGTTCTATGAAATGAGAAGAAAAGGTTGCTTATATACATCAGACACATGGACAATCATGATAATGCAATATGGTCGAATAGGTATGACAGAAATTGCTCTGAGGAATTTCAAAGAAATGAAAGATAGTGGTTGTAAACCAAATAGCAGTACATACAAATGTTTGATCATCTCTCTTTGTGGTAGAAAAGGAAGGAAGGTAGAGGAAGGCATTAAAATGTTCCAGGAGATGATTCAAATGGGTTGTATTCCTGATAAAGAATTGGTTGAAACTTATTTCGACTGTTTATGTGAAGTTGGTAAGCTGTCGGATGCTAGAAGGTGCACTGAATCTCTTCGTAAAGTAGGTTTCACAATTCCACTAAGTTATTCCTTGTACATTAGAGCTCTTTGTCGTGCAGGGAGATTGGAAGAAGCTTTATCATTGTTAGACGAGGTTGGGCCAGAACGATCTTCCGTGGAACGGTACGTTTCTGGAAGCCTTGTTCACGGACTGCTAAAAAAGGGGCGGTTGGAAGAGGCTTTGGCTAAGGTGGAATCTATGAAGCAGGTAGGCATCTCTCCAACAGTGCATGTCTATACATCCATAATAGGTCATTTTTTGAAGGAGAAACAAGTAAGCAAGGCTCTGGAAATTTTTGAGAAAATGAAAGGGGAGGGTTGCAAACCAACAATTGTTACTTATTCAGTATTGATATGTGGGTATGTGATCCTTGGGAAGATTGTTGATGCTTGGAATGTTTTCCAGCACATAAAACTTAAGGGACCAGTTCCTGATTTTAAGACTTACTCCATGTTCATTTCATGTCTAAGTGGGGTTGGTAAGTCTGAAGAAGCACTGCAACTTATTTCTGAAATGTTGGACAGTGGTATTATTCCTAGTAGTGTTAATTTTCAAACTGTTTTTTATGGGCTAAACAGAGAAGGCAAGCAAGATTTAGCTCATACTGTGTTACAAAAAAAGTGGGCTCTTGCAAGTAGAAGGAAGTTTTCGACCTGAGTTTTGTCCATATTATTGGTATTAGTTTTGTATCATTTGTCTCATGTAAATTATCAGAGTTTTCTTCCCTATTATCATGAATGAGGTTCATGCTTGTGATGGCAATTGATTTGATAATAATAGTATGGTTTCTGCTAAAAACTATTAAGTTGTGTACCAATTTGTATCTAGTTGACAAACTCTGGTTTTTTTTGGATGTAAATTATATGCCACCTGATTTTGTAACCATGGAATCACTAGTTTTATACTCCGTATCTGTTACTTGTTCAGCAATTAGATAAATTTCATGTCAGTAGTAATCTTATCTCATGTCAGTAATAATTTTGTTACATTAATGATCACACCTCCTGTCACCAATAATTTTGTTTTGGACATTGTCATTATTTTAATATCTCAACTTTGATTATTTTAATACATATATGCGTGTGTTGGGATATATACCTTGCGAGTAAAGGTCACTTGGCAATTGGCATTACATTTGATAATTCCTTTAAGCAGCATAAAAATGATATTATTGAGTTAGGCTTCTAAAGCATTTGGGTTGCTTTTGAAATATCATGGCTCACGGGACGTAATTGGATTGTAACTCTGAGAAAGGACAAAATTGCCTAGGGTTTCATTAAGAGTATATGTCTCTACAAAGAGTACAACCTAGTACAAGCCCCTCCATATCTTCAACCCCTTCTTCAGTCCAACGATTGGTTGATCATCTAGCTTTTGATGGCTAGCTTGATCATTGTACCAGTAGAATAATGTATCCAAAGTTGAGATTTCGGATAGACAGACGCACCTATTCAATAAGAATCAAACCCCTATAATACTGTACTCATTTCCCAGTGATGAGCTTGCTACACTATATGCAAATTTTTGTTTCTGAATGATCAAAAATCACTAAGACTGTAACCTAATGGTACTCACTAGTCACCACTTCTTCACCTTCCGAAATACATGGTCAAGGGTTTATATCCACGTAGGGGCAATACCAAGAAATAAAAATTATCGACTGCACCACCAAGGTCTTCAAGTGGTATCTCCTGTCATGGTCTACCAAGTTCACTACATATGACTTCATGTTGTCAAATGGTTACATATGACTATAACCAAAATGACAAGTGTAAAAGTAAGAAATGCCATATAGTATATATGGCAATGTTTTATTCATTCCCCAAAATTGCAGCAAATGCCACCTTCTCAAGAATACATAAGATTAGTAAGTACTGAGTGTTCCCATAGGCACGTCTTATAACAGCTAGAATGAGAGGCATTGTCATTTTCGCCAACGAAGTACCCAAGGTCAGCCGGGTCTTTGATTGATATCTTCCAACCAGATAAATTTTCCTAAGATAGTCCTCCATTGTTGTCTGGCTTAGCCAAAGCTATTCTGGAAAGAAACAATAGGTCCACCATCAGTCATTGCACAAACGAAGAAGAGAAAAATGACTGACTATGTGACGACCAAATTGTATTAACTGTCAGCTGCATAAAGGGAGTGCACCGCTTTACAATCTGCTAAGCCTCACAATGTTAGATCAGTGCTGCACATTTGAATGTGCTAAGGGAAGTGAATTAATTCCCAGAACTCCACAATTAACCAATAATGCACACAACTTTTAAATCAAAGGTACAAGGACTTAGTGCACCAGGATAGGAGAAAAGAAAATATAAGAAGATTAAAAAATCTGAATTAATTAAAAATGACTCTGCCAGTGTTAATAATCTAAAAATAGACAAACCAATGAATAAAGGCCATCATGCACACAGTATTTATATAAGCAAATCAATAAAGGAATGCAAAGACAGCAGTTGGCTTGCAGATAGGTGCATGCTCATACAAACTTTTTCAAGGGCTGTAGATATTATTGCAAATTTTATATATGTGGTCAATTCAGATGCCTATAGGCCTGTATTAGAACCAAGTGATCCACCGTCCATGGATTTTTGGCCTACATTCTAAATGGGGTCCATAGTTCCTTTGATTATCCAATCATGGATTCTCAATCTGTCCAAAGTTGTTAATTTGGAAGGTGATTTAACATTGGAATGCACTGAACCCAAATGCTTCATGCAGTATTCAATTCATTATGGAAACCGCAATGCAGTATGTTCAACTTATGGAGAATACCGAGGCTAAAACTGTAACCCAGAGAGAGGAGATGTTGTCTTTTTTTTTTTCTTCTTCTTTTTGTTTTGCGGGTGGGGCGGAGAGGAACAGTCAAGTGCACTGTAATATGTTGTTGTATTGACTTGTCCAGGTCATAAACCACCACTCCAGAAGTTAAAAATTGCAGATCCAAACCCTGCAACTGCCCTTAAACCTCCACGGGAAAAATGATTAAAAGAACAGAGATATGTTATGCAGATGGAGGGATTGCCATTGTAACCAAGGAAAGGGGACAACTGGGCATTAAATATCACAGTCTATTTGAGAAATAAGAGCCTCAGACAATAAACTAATTAAATTCACAAATTTGTACTTCTCACATCACATAGAAACAGTACATACCCAAGCACTGTCAGACGCAATTAAGCTTGAAACTGAGTATATGAGATCAAAAAAGACCGCCGGCTAAGTTGCAGAAGTTGACACTAGGTCATCACGAACCTGAAGATGGTAAAAGAAAAGCTCTGTCAGAACTTCTAGAGTTATTCTGTCCAGTAAACATAAAATTCAACACATAGAAATTGATGTCAGTCCAAATTCTAAATGACATAAAAATGTATTAAGATGTTGTTTCATCTGCAAATTCAGAGGTGTGCACATGACCCCTTCAAGTTCAAAACATAGAATGTGGGACAACTATATCCTGACTTCTGAATTCATTCTATAACATGCAAACATCTAGAGATCTTAACCCAACAATTTGATTTAAATATTTCCATAGATGAAAAGAACTAATGTAATTGTTTACACAAGTCTACCTGGCTCATTCAACCGAACTTCAACCTAGGACCCACCTCATACTATGCAAATATTGTCCGCTTTGCACCTTCTTGGCGCTCACATTGCCTGGGGAGAGAGAAGTTACTAACACTTATAAGGGGGATGATTCTACCTATGTAGATAAGTTCTAAAAAGCGTGAGCATGCAAAGCGGACAATATATGCACAGTATGAGACGGGTCTTGAAAGATGGAATCAGAGCCAATCCCCAACTCAAACGTGGGAAGAACATGCACAAGGCCATAAGGATCATGCTAGCAAGTATGCTGGGTTCCAAGAGGAGGTGATTGGTGATTTCTCACATTGCTTGGGGGGAGGAGTTGTTGGCACTTATAAAGGGGATGCCTCTGACTTGTGTAGACGCGTTTTAAAACCGTTTGTGCCAAAAGGGTCCAAAGCAACCACTATCTACATAGTGTGAGGCGGCACCTCAAATGAACCTAACAATTGGATCTATATCTTTCCCATAGATGATAAGAACAAATTTTACATGAGGACAACACTTGTCCAGCTGTCCAGATCACTACTGTTAATAGAAAAAGCCATTGCCCAGTGTGTTCCCTATTAACCAAGGGAGTTGGGAGGGCTAGATTGGTAGATTGGTAGATGTATGCTTGGCGGTCAAACTTTTTTACCAACTGCACCAAGCAATGGCCTCTATCTTGAATATATTAGCAAAACCTAAATCATTTTTATATAAGAGTAGTTTAAGAAAAAGTCATAGTAAATAATAACCCTGTAAGTAAGCACATGTGACATTAAAATTGTTAAGAAAATTTTGAAGTTCCACGTCTTCAGAACATATTATGGTACCAAATTTTTTCAACAGAATCATATTAAGCATATTTTTTATATACAGTTATTGGATGGCGTGCCTGCATCAGAGCTTCTTAACAATTTCTTCATTTACACGTCTGTAGTAAGTCATCCTCTGGATGGAACTCAGGGCTTCTTCATATTTTCGGCTTTGAAATGCACTTGCAAAGGACTCAGACCAATATGCCAGTTTCTCTTGTATCTGGGAAAAAAGGAAATTAAAATAAAGAATTATTTCCATGCATCTCAGAATAAGGGCCCGTTTGGGAAGTGTAGTGTGATGTAGTGTACTGCTCTAGTCTAGAACAGAACAAGTGTTTTGTAATGTGATGTTCTGAAAGGAGAACAAAACATGTATGGTGTTCCAAATTTGCTCTGAGAATTTTGGAATAAAAACATGGTAGAACATGTTTGGTAATGTATATTGTTCTAAGAAATATGAGAACAAAACATGTTTGGAAGAATAAAAGTGTAACCAAAATCACTAAAAAAAAAATCATGAAATATATTTTTTTTTTAAGTGACAAATTCCAAAACTATAAGTTACCAAAAAAAATTATTGGGTTTCCTTTATTAAAAAATTACCAATAAAAACCTGTAAATATTACCAATAAATTTCATTGCATGAAATTAGTACGAGTGTTGGGTTTTTTTTATTAAAAAATTACCAATAAAAACCTGTAAATAAAAAATTTGCTTCTTCAGTACCTTTTTACTAAAAATAGAAAAACAAATTTAATCATATATTATATTATCTAATAATAAGTCACAATTATTTTCTTTCTCCATTTAAATTTAAATTTTTTAAATTTCAGATAGACAAATATAAAAAATGAGGATTCAAGCTATTTTGATATATATATATATATATATATAGAAAAACAAATTTTATCATATATTATATTATATAACAATAAGTCATATATTATATTATCTAACAATTTTTTTAAAATTTCAGATTATATATATATATATATATATATATATATATATATATATATAGCAGGTGAAAAAATTGCAAGAGATTTGAGAATTTGGATCAAACAAAAATTCAGTTAAAAAAACGCAGATGTGGGGTTCGTCGGAATCGGTAGACGAGAGCGCACAAGAGCTCGCCGGAGTGACAGATCTACGCGCCGGAGTGACAGATCTACGCGCCAAAGCTTTGGGTTCGCCGGAAAACGCAGAGGTGGGGTTCGCTGGAAAACACAGAGCTGAGATAGTTCTTGAAAGAGAGAGAGGGGGGCAAGTTCACAGATTTGCTAGATTTTGTAGTTTGCAATTGCAGAGAGGGGGCAACTTCAGAATTGAGAACGAGAATAGAGATGGAGGTGGGTTTCGAACTTCTGATTCTTGTAGATTTTGTAGCTTGCAGTTGCAGAGAGAGAGAGAGGGCAAATCAGAGTGTTTTTTCAGAAATTAGGGCAAGTTCACAGTTGAGAACGAGAATAGAGATGGAGGCAAGTTCACAATTAGGGCAATGTTCCACCGATTCTTAAATATGTGTTCTCAGAATTCTTGCACTTTGGGCTGTTGTTCTCCTTTCTATAGTGAATAGTGGGCCGACTGAAATTTGGGAACACTTTGCAACACGAATTTTTTGTTCCAGAAATTGGCCCAAAATCAGAAATTGTTCTTGCACTGTTGGACACAATACAGCCCATACCAAACAAGTTGGTGTCCTCAATAGTGTCCATTTGCGCTGTAGGGAAGGGCATAGAACAAGATAGAGCATCCCCCAAACAGGCCCGAAGTGACACATCAAGATGATATTCAAGTGTGTTATTTTTTGGCAACCCTAGCCTGGTTATGCCCTTAACCCAAAATCTATCTTGCTTAGATGATACAAAATATCAATCAACGGCCTCTCCTAACACATCCACCATTTGGAAAGCTGAGAAAATGTGATGGCTTCAGGAAATTTAAAACCAGTCGGTCTGTAACTCAGCATATGAGCCATGTATATTGCTGTAACAAAGAATCCTGCCACGCTGAATTTATCACACACATTAAATGTGACCACTAATAGAGCAATCACACATACCTGGGCCTGGATCTTATTTAATGCCTGAGAGTCTGTGGCTTCTTCAACAGCTTCCCTAATTTCCAGAATCTGCAATGAAGTAAGTCTTATTATTCACATGGAAGTGAAGTTTTTTTGCAGACTTAAATTCAGAAACCTTAGCAAATTTAAACAGAAACCAAACCTCTCTTTTCAATATAGCTACCAGAAGAAATTTTAGGGCTGTGAAGTTCCATAAAAAAAGAACACCACCACCTCTGAATCTTGGAAGAGAGTCTTTTAAAGAGCTCTTTCTGGCTGTGAAGCATTTGAGAAAATTTAGTTCAAAGTTGGGACCGTTCACACTTTTCTTAGTCCCTTGGAATTCACATTTTTGGTTCCCAAATTCAGCGCTTCTCCATTAAATCTGACTTTTTTACCAATATATATATATATATATATATATATATTGAAAAAACTCCATGCTTCCAGAATTATATAATCATATTTATGGTGAATCAAAATCAAGACTTTTAGATTACTGAAAATTAGATCTCATACATTAACAACGAAATTTAGTTCAAAGTTGAACCATTCACACTCTTCTTAGTCCCTCTAAATTCACTCACATATTTTGTACCCAAATTCAGCGCTTCTCCATTAAATCTCACTTACTACCAATATGCATATATGGGTCAAGTGCAGAAAACACCCCTAATGTATACTCCGTGTAGCATTTTCACCCCCTATATGAAATAAAGTGCTAATAACCCCCTTATTTTTTTAACATTGTGCAGAATCACCCCTAAAACAGAAATCTGATATAAAATAATATTATAATGCCCGTTTTGCCCTTTTACAATTCCGAAAATACCCAAGGGGGTGTGTATGCTAATAATCTCATAGTATAGGGGTGTTATGTGCCCACTTTTAAGGATTTTTCTCACCTTTCCAAAAAAATAATAATAAATTTCTCTCTATATATTCCCCTTAAGAGTGTATTATCTCTCTCTGAGTTGAGAGTTATCCATTTCCTAGGACTTAATGCCACTCATAAGTTAGAAAGTTCTAATATATGTATTTCTTTTACCGGTGAAGTAGAGATAAAAAATTATATATCTAAAAAAAAAAAAAATAAAATAAAATAAAATGTTCTCACAGTTGTCAGATTAATAGATTAATGGAGAGTACATCACATGGAATGAAAACCTCAGTTCTTTTTATAATTAAAAAAAATATATATATATATATATATATATATATATATATGTTCCCAAATTTAAATATATAATTAAAAATATTAAATTAAAAATACTTATTCATTATATATATGTAATATACATTTAAGTAGCAGCAACACTGATCGGAGTACGAGTTTGAAGATATCATCAATATTGATCAGCGAAAGCATAATTCATTCCTTCTACATCATAATTTGATTTAAAGAAAAAGGGGTGAAGTGATCACACTTTGAAGGGGTCAAAACATTCGTAGAGTGTCGTTTGATCTACCAGCAATCCTTCTACAAAGATCAAGGATAAGCCTGAAGTCGAAAGCTGTTGGATGGGGTAGTCGCAAAGCCAGGAATTGTCAGCAATTGATTTTTGGTAAAACGATAGGGTGTGAGCCTGAGTCAAAGTGAGTTGTGCTTTGCTTCGAACATAGTAGATCGTTTTGCTCTGGACGGCGTAATCCACAAGGTTTTTCCCACAACGATTGGTCTCTGCCAATCGGGGTTTTCTTACTAAAAATCACGGTGTCATTTCTCAAACTTTATTTACTTTACTTGCACTTAATTTTTGCTTTGTGGGTTGTTTAATTTAGTTTTATTTCGATATATTTAATTTAAGCAAAAATCGGATAAAATAGCAAGTTGAACCTATTCACCCCTTCTAGGTTACTATTCCATATTATATTCCACAACCATTCCGCATTGTGCAACTCACAAAATGTGTATATAAGGGCAATTTCGGTAAACTCTACCTTAAATGTGTCAGGTTGGACCTATTTGCACAAATTGAAACTTTAGGGGTGTTTTTAGCACATGAAGGGTGTGAGACGCATTGTAAGCATACTATTGGGGTGTTTTCTGCACTTGACACACTTATATATATATATTGAAAAAACTCCATGCTTCCAGAATTATATAATCATATTTATGGTGATTCAAAATCATGCCTTTTAGATTACTGAAAAATAACTCTCGTATATTAACAATGAAAACTGTAGTTAACAGATTCTTACCAGGAAGCAATGAGACAATGATTAGATAACTAGCAGCAATCAGTTATTACAGGATTATTATACTATAGCATAACACCATTTCAGTGAAATAGTTACACTTATCAGCAATATATTTTTTTCCCATGGAGCACTAAATGCTTCCCATTTGCGTCATCCTTAGATGGCAATCAGTTTCCATAATGTTCTCCTGCAATTAAGCTAACAGCTCTATTTTTTTGTCTCTGTTACTTAACCAATTCACGGGTGAGAATGAATAATAAAACTCTCCACCTCAATTAAATTTCATTACTCAATTTAAAAACACCTTTATATCTATAAAAAAAAAAAAAAAAAAAAAAAAAATGTTAAGAAGCAAGTACCAAAATTTTATAATAAATACAGTAGTCATGAAAAAAATAAACCATAGAATATTAATACTCAAACATAGACTAAGTCTGTAAATTACCTCAGCTAACAACTCTATATCCGAAACTGTTTCTTCCTCGTCCACATCCACGCCTTCAAGCTTCAACTAAAAAAGCAAGAAAAAAAAAAAAAAAACAGTCAAATAACAATTCTCATTTATGTTTGTAGAGGAGGTTAAGATGGATGAGTGACTAGAGGTCACTAATAAAAGTGTGGGAGAAATTAGGAGTGGCGCCTATTGGTGATAAAATAAGAGAAAGTAGACTTAGGTGGTATGGAAAGGTCTTTAGATGCCCTGGTAATAAGAGTAAGACTAATTTGTATACGAGGTAAAAGACAGAGAGGGCGACCGAAATGAACAAGTGATGAAGTTATTAAAAATGATTTTTAAAAGTTTAAATGTTATAGGAGAGTACAAATAATCAATTACCACCTTTTTTTTTTGCCAAACTCTTTGAGTGAAATCACTCCCATGTAGATCCATCATTCCAAACAAGAAACACCATGATATTCTTCATGTTTCCAATCTAGAAATACTAATCCTTCTAATATATTGTCACAAACCCATAGGCTAGCTTCTCAGCCTTATATATCTTATATAGATTATCAAAAAATATGGAAATGATTGGACAACATGCTCTCCGTCTCGCTTTAGCCCTACAACCACTAACTTTTCAATCTTGGAAAACTCTGTGGTTAATATCTCCTTCCTTAAACCAAAATTCAGTATGCACTAAATCATCTACAGTTTTTTTATACATTAGCAGTGATATGATAGACATGACAGCAAGTGATTGAGTAAAAAACAACAAACTGATTCCTGTGATCTAGAATTCTATATGCAGGCTATATTTGAAGATCACAACAATTAATAGAAAATAGAAATCATATACACTTACAATGTATATCGCCCTTGACAACGGATTAGTCAGTGTGCGATATGCATCAATTACCCGAGCAGACTGTTCAGCAGCATACCCTCTTTCTTTCTAATGAAAAATACAAGAAAATCAACACATAATTATAAAATACTAAAATAGTTTATATTGATTAATTGGATTTATTACAAAACAAACCTCAGATTTTGAATGAACAAGATCAGGGTGCAATTTCTTCTGCCAGTCTTTGTATCTGCCCTCAAGATTTCTATCATCAATGTAATACTTTTTCTCCCTGTTAAGAATCAAAAGAATTGCTTAATGTATATGGGTTGCACTTGTTAAAAACAAGCAAATAAAGTTTTTTTGTATCTGTATTCTCCATTATTGCATTTCTATTCAAACCGGCACGTAGTCTGCTGTAAAAATTTTTTATTTTAAAATCACTGAAAGACATTGATTGTGTTGATAACTAGGTAGAGGAAGAAGAGAGGCAGGAACTATAAAGAACACATTTGAAGGAATGAATAGAATTCTTCCGTCATAAACGAAATCATTTTAAAGAGAGTTAGATGGGATAGAGAAAATCAGATAAAAGGGTCTTTGGCAGAACAAGATGAATGTGGGTAATTTGGTTATGTGAAGTATTAAGAAATTTATCATTGAGAACCTGGCTGAACAAACAGCTCCACTAAACTAGGCCTATGCAACTATTTAACATCATTTAGATTTCAATTCTTAAATTTCCATACCTACCTGGAAAATGGCAAATTCTCTGATCCAATTCAAGGTATACCTACCTGGAAAATGGCAAATTCTCTGATCCAATTCAAGGTAAAAGTCAGAGACTAGTTAACCGTGTCTAACAGCAACCCCAACATTAACATTAAATCACAATTACTGGTTTAGTTGAACTGTGTGTTTAGTTCTTCAGAGACCAAAAATATATATCTATTTTCTTATTTATTTATTAAACTCCCTTATTTATATTTCCCTTAGCTTTCTGAGCAACATAAAGATAATTTAAAAACAGGTAGATAATTTAAAAACAGATAAACTACGTACTAGTTGAATAAAAGACCTTTTTATATATATTTCACAATATTTATGCAATACAAACGCACTATGTGAAGGGTCACTGCTTGGAGCTGGTGCGACGGTATATGCGTGTGTTATGTGTGGGACTAGTTAGTGTTAATTAGTTGAATGATCATTTTGAAAAAAACACTTACAATCCGAATATCTGGAAGTAATCAACAGCGCGATCAACAGGTTGAATGCTTCGACAAGAGTCACAAAACAAAAACGGCACCACTTGAGGCACAGCATCACAGTTCCAGCACCTGGGAAGAACTCTCTCGGAGCAGAAATTTTTGCCGGAAAATTTGAGGTTTCCGAGAAACCAATACCTCTGGATTGGAAAAACCCTAGGGTCCTCTTCACTATGGAAAGAACGCGTGGAAGAAAAAGCAGTAGAAAATTGCGTCACATGAATGGAATTAATAGAGAAACGAGAGGTTGAAGGAAGTGCCCTGCGTAGAGCAGAGGAGAGAGTCGTCCATAATAACTTCTTCCTCCACATCTTCGATTCAAGAAAAATCAGATATAAATACAAATATATATAGAGAGAGAGAGAGGGAAATTAGTTTGTCGGTCAAGCAAGGTAGATTTGTTAAGATCGTGAACCGAGTGGAGCTGAAACTCCTCCACATATTTGAACTCGGCTCGGATTCAATTTGAGTTTGAGACGAGTTCGGTGTGAACCCGATTTGGATTAACTTCTTCATATTTACGGAGTACTATTTTTAAAATTGTAAGTTTTATTTTTATTAATATTGTGCATATATTGTTTTTGTAAAGTAAATGCTGTTGAGTGAGTGAAAGGGTGAAATAAAATCTTTAGTTCTCTCTTTTTGGAGCACAATGAAGCCGTAAATGCAACTAATGAGGAGAGTTTGACAGATTGAATATTGGAAATCTGGAAGGTATGCCCATGTTGATCCATTTTATGTAGGATCAGCATCCCCAGTCCCTAGATCTTACAATACATACATACAGACACATCAATTATATTTTCTCTTCTATATTTGATGCATAGATATTTTTCTTAAGAAAATTCGACACAACTCCATATTTTATTGTATGAATACAACAATTTAAAAATAAAAAATAAAAAAAATAATAATAATAAATAAATAAATAAATACAACAATGATCCACTTAATTGTATGAATACAACAATTTTCTTTTAATTTGCATAGTCAAGTAACTCAATTGGATAGATTTATCAATCTTGGCTTTCTCAGTTGAAATGAAAATTTCGTAGCCAGAAAGATTATGCGGCCATGAAAGAGGGATTAAGCATAATAAACTTGGAACTTCGTGTTGAATGGAAGATCTAGGTCGGTCCTTCAAGCTCTAGGCTTATAAACATTACACCATGTGAGGCCTCGTCTCACCCACCACACTAGGACTAGATTCTTTAGAAGCTAGAAGCATGAGCTAAACTTATACATTAAGCTAACATGGTGATTCTTGGGATAGAACAAAAATGTACCATTTCCCCAACCCATCTTTTCATTGGTAAAGGAACTGACATTTCACAATCGTCCTACATTTATATAAAAATTAAACTTTGATATACACAACTTTGAGATAAATTGCAATATCCAAGAACCTAGAAACCATCTACCTCATCAACAAATTCAATAGAGAACTTGTAATAAAAGCATATCATTAACTATTACTCTTCTTTCTTCTGTGTGTGATGCCTAAATGTATTGTCAACTTAGTACAGTGAGAGAAAGAGGCAACTGTACCCCTAATCCATTGGATGAGGTGGATCCGAGATGAAGATCCAGTTGTGCCTCTAGCAGCATAGTTCTAAAATCCATTCCCACCCACTGTGGTAAATGACGCGTGGTTAACAGGATCTGTTTCTGTTTAGCTCAAGTCCTTTCCTCTCAAGACATTAACTAGCCTGAAATTAGATTGAAGCAACAGAACCTTGCTTTTTTGTTCTTCCCTTTATTCGGGCTGCTTTTATGGATGCCATTTGCATCGGTACTAACCAACTTGTTACCATTAGTTGTCTCGGCTTCAGAGGAACACAAAGCAGTCTGGTGAGTTTCATTCGGATCCGGTGATACTGGTGCTATTCTGTTATGGTTTGCCTCCTTTGAGTAAGAATTTGATCCAGCACACCTGCAAAATAGGATTACACTAATAATGAAGTAGACTAAGCCACATTCATTTCCCTGTGTGTGCTTGTTGATAAAAAAGGACATTGCCTTAACTAAAATGGAAACTTTTTATAATAAAATCATGAAAAATAATCAAAATACATGCAAACCATTTTTTTTTTTTTTTTTTTTTTTTTTTTTTTTTTTGCTTTATTAACTTCAAGACTTGACACATTTTATTCATGTCGTCATAATCCAAAAGGAATTTAACAATTAAAAGAACGCATCAACAAACTTGAAATTTTTTATTTTAAGGCTAAAAAGGAAAGTTGGATCATGCAAATATGGGTGCACTGTGTATTGCCAGGGAGAGCATGTACATATGTGTGCACATGCATGTGTGTGTGGGTAGCTGGAAGAAGGGAGAGGAGGGGTTGCGGAAGAATTGGGGACAGTCACCAAAGAATAACAAAGGCAGGGTCTTGGCTACATATCATCATCATCATAGGAGCCACATAAAGGTTTAGCTTTGTTGAGACCCAAGACTACAAAAGATAGGAGAGCTACAGCATAATATTTCATCAGAACACAAAGCCACATCCAAAACTGTAATAGATAATGCAGTCAAATGCATATCATAACATTACAAAATTGAAAAAATATTATGAAGCAAAAAATTAGAAGATTCATATTTTTTTATTTTTTCTAAGACATGATAAATGATCTAATTTTTTTAAGAAAGAAATAGGTGGCTTTTTTGTGAAGGAATATATTTATATGCTTGAAGGACAGGAAGGAAAATGAGCAAAACGGCAGAGATGATAATTGTGTATCAGATACCAAAATTGGGAATATGCAGCGTCAATAATCCTAGTAACTTTCAAAAGTCATCTTTGATTCTGTTGACACAATTACCTGGAGGCTTGACTGCCAGAGCTATTCCTGGGTTCATATGATGTCCTTTCAACCATTTCATCTTTTGATGCTTCAACACGAACTCCAACATTTGAACAAATTTGACTATTATTTGAAGATTTTGACTCGTTTACTGCACTCTCTTCCAAATTCTGGAAATCATTGTTGGTGAAGCGGTGCAGAGACCTGGTTTTGGGATTAAATCCATATTCCTTAAAGATAGAAATGACTTTCTCTAATGTTCCCAGTGCTTGCTCCACCTCTGGTCTGATAGTTACTTGACTTTTATTATTGTCACAACATCTCTCTGCAATTTGCTTGGATAGAGGGATATATATTTTCTTCCCTTCCTCTTCTAAGTGTCTACTTTCTTCAATTTCATCTTCCTCAACCTCCTCAATCTCTCCAGGAGCTCTGTGATCCATACTTACCACATCCTCTGAAAAGGATTCAGCTGCATGGTCACTATCAAGAACCTTCTTTTCCACATTCCCCTCCTCAGCCTGCATAATCTCGATAAGTTGTTCCTCATGGAGAATGCATGCATCACTCTTAAGGTCTTCTGGTTCCAGATCTCCCGAATCTTTATTCTCAGAGCAAAGAGCCTCACGTATTCGAGTATACATTGGGTCCTTTAAGGCCTCACCAAATTCTTGATCACCTTTATACACAGAAGCAACTTCCTGTTACAGAATTAACCACTCAATACGTAAGAGGAACATGGGGAGAACCAGCAGATGCTTGTCTATATTCCAGTAAATCCTGGCATCAAGTCTAATGCAAGTACATTCAGGTTAGGACTTCCTTCTTTTACTTATGTCAAAAACACAAGTCAAGGAACTAATAACCGAAGAATCTGAGGGGATCTAAATTTACCCTCAGCCTCACTAACCACTTGAAGTGTTCACTTTAGAGTTTGAACATGGTGTCATCAAATGCACATCCTAACAATTTTACAAACACAACTGCTGAGGAAAAAATTATAAAATTGAAATAGAACCTTTTGATAGAGCCTGAAACCACTGCCTACGAGCTGCCTTGAAACAAAATTAATTAAAGATGGAGGAACAAAGTCCAGTTTTACATCCATATTCGCTATAGTCCTGCAAAATATGGAAGTGCATAAAGATTTGTAACAGGGGACACCATACAGAATTGACTACATAATATTAACAAGGGAAGCAAACAAATTGAACAGTGAAATAGTCCAATCATTTGTGAAATTACTTGCTAGCCCAATGGTGAAAACAAGACATTTATATATGCACATATGTGTGTATGTATATATAAGTATACATGCAAATTTGCAGATCTGGGGCTGTAACCACTGATTAATTGTGAAAATAACAACACAAATTCAGAATAGATAAAAAATGTGTGAATGCTTGAGGTTGACTATCATGAACCATTTAACTGAGACTAATTTAAGTTGTTGTAGGTATGAATCTTCTTTCAATGGGTTTATTCCATACCTGCTTCAACTGAGGAAAGCTTAGAATCTCGCTTGATTGGTACAATTGAAAAATGAAGATGTTAATATTCTTCTATGGATTGGGTACTCTGATATTAATATTCTTCTAGCAGTTGGACTACTATGCATGGAAAATCAAGGGTGCAAGTACGACATGCATACCATGAGATTTTTGACAACTCAGTGTAAAAAATTTCTCCCTCGACGGAATGGTAATTCTGGAAGTCTTTTGGTATTTATTGTTTTAGTTCTGTTTAGCAAAAAATTATCCAACTTCTTCCATGTTTTTAAGTAGTGACATGTAAAACCCATGTAAAACAAATGGGTAGCAGTTAGCAACCAGGCATGATGAACAACGAACTTCTTAAAAATATTGAATCTTGGATGTGTTGTCAACTTCAAAGTTCAAACAGACAAATTTCAGAAAAATAAAAGGATGTATCATTACAATCAAACTTGAAGTGGCAAGCTGAGATGAAATGAACCATGAATTTCATTTTACTTTCAAGAAATCTACTCCTGCAAGACAGCAACCGAGACGATAACTGAACCCAAGAAATTGCTAGTGAAGTAGTCTGACATATATATTTTTTTCTATTTCCTTTTCTTTTCATATGAAATGGTATAACTGTACGGAATTGTGAATTTGAGGTCTCAAGGTCCTTGTTGTGCACTGATATACATATTCCAAGCATCATTTATCAATGTTTTGTAGTATTTAACTAAATATATTTGGTTGCAAATTATATGCATCTTATCCAGCCTAAATCAGCTGCCGTTGAAGGGAAATGGCACTTAAATTTTTTCAGTTAATCGTCACATGAACTACAGCATAGCAATAAGAAGTGGATAGATGAAGTTGATAAGTAAAGATTGTGGCATTGTATCCAATTGGATTATCCTATCAGCAAAACAAGAATTTGCATCTTGTTGCCTCAATATAACAATCAGTATCAGTGCTTTTATAACCTAACTGTATGTCAAGGGCAAACCAGTCAATATTTTCATGGGAGTTTTTTTTGTCCTGCGGTAAGGTTTTCAACATTTTCATGGTTTTATATTGTTTTCTGCATTTTTAGAGAAAAACAAAATACTGAAATGTAAGAATCAGCTAATTATAGCAAATTTCGGCAGTCGACCATCAAGATGTCTCCCTACCTCTTTTGTACTAGCATACCTTCTGTTAAACTTACTACTTTGAGAAACTGATTCAAATGCGTATTTGAATTCCCTCATTGATAATTCATAGGCTATTCCTACTGTTTCTTGATTTGGAATTGCTTTTTCGGTAGGTGAATCGCACACACATCCATTTGTTCCATTATGGACTCAAACCCCTCAACCTTCCATTTGGAAGGAGGAGATACCACCTAACTAAGATAATCCATTATATTGCTCTGAAACTTAAAACTCAAGGTAGCTGGATTACTACATTCATTAAAGATTTTCTCGACCAATATCTGCTTTTTCAACAGAAAATTTTATTTGGAGAACACTCCAGAAAGAAATTCCCCACCCTGAAGATGATGTCAGGATTTAGGCCTATCTCCAATCTTTTCCTCCCAATGTCCCATATAGGCAAGACATAAACCGAGTAATGCAGTAGTCATATATATCGTCTTCTTCTTTTTTTTTTGTGAAATGTTAAGCAAATCGTCATATATATCTTTACAAATGTTTGCTTTAGTTTACTTGAGAATGATTTTTATCTTTAAGAAGTTTTCAACGAAACAAACAGAGCTCATATAACATGTGAACTAGTACTACTAGATTTGAAGAGGACACATAAAGGAAATAAACTACATTTGTTCATTCAATTTTAGGTAGTGGAGTTCATAGATAAAGTTCCTGTTTTCAGTCTTATGCATACTGACTATATTTACTTGGGGCTATGCTTTGTTCTACATGGCCCTTGTATTTGTCCTTGGACCTTTTCTCACTTGGAATGCCCACTATACCTAACTCAATCATACAAATTTCATTTAACATTACAGAGTACATGAAAATTTAACTGCAACTCACCGAAAGTAGCTTCTGTCCGGTGTCACTTTTTGTACAGCAAATCCTCCTACCACATCAATCCTTACTACATCCTTTGCATCAGGTATCCCATCTTTGCTGAACCCATGAGTAATTTTATTGATGCTCTCCATGTCAGGGATCTAAAAGCAAAAATAGGAAGGATAGTTTCTGATTAGGTTTAACATATAGATCTCAATGGATTTCTGGAAGTAAATAAACCGCAACCAAGAACCGTAACTTTAAGTGCCTACCGAGTTGAAAAGCACAATGATCAGATCATCTTGCAAGTATTCAAATTCAAAGAAGTGCACAACAGCCTCTCTCGTTGATAGCGGCCATGAAACCTTCATCCTTTCTTCCATATAGTTAGATGAACATCAGCACCCTAAATGAAAGATAAAGGAAGCTAGAATAACTCAAAACAAGCAAAGCTTTACAATAGCAGGACAAACCTCACTAAAGATATCTGTTCCCCAATTCGGACCTTTTGCAAACAGTCGGAAGAGAGAAGTTTGAAACTCGGAATACTACTCTGAGGCCACCTGGTAGAAGAAAATAATATAATTAAAAATAGAGTGATCGTTCCACATTAACAGTGAATCTAGTCCAATTTCATATATTTTTTAATTTCTTTGTTTGTAAGTCTCACAGAAAGGTACACTCACAGACATAACATACAGATATCTTTTTCATTAGCATTGTTGCCTTGGCAAATTTACATCAAAGCATTGTAACACAGAGGTAAAAATGCTGGCACAATCTCGAAGGGATGGGTGAAATTAGGGGATTAAATCTTATTTTCAAACAAAAAAAGGGAGAGAAGGAGAGGGAGAGAGAGAGACTACAGTTGAACACTATTCTGTACCTTCCCTATCCTCATGCACCTTCCAACTAGACATCCTCCAGCTTATAGTTACTCTCAAATATTTCATCAGTATATGTCATTTCAAAATTCTAATTAATGCATTGTCTCTATTCAAAATGATTGTGTGAATGTGAGTATGTATATTTCAGCTGCACATTTACTGTTGGCACTACAGAGAAAGAGAGTAAAAATTCCTATATATCAGTCGACTTTCAAATTTTTTTTTCCCCGGAAGGTATATCAGTCAACTTTTATTGTGTAAACTCCATGTACGCTCCAACTTATCAAAAGAAAGAAGAAAAACAAAAACAAAAACAAAAAACAAGTAAAAACATTCGACTGCAAGAATTCTAAGGTTGCTTTTTGAAATTGAAGAAATTTCGAAACCGTAGTGTGGTAATTTTTATTAGAAAGTCAAAGCAGTTGAAATCATGAGGGGAGAGCTAGAAATGACTTGACATATATTTAAGTTAGCACTCCTGGATGCATGGGGCTGTAAAATATCTATAATTTAAAATAGTACACAAAAAAACAATAAATATTAAGATTGGATAGAAATTTTCTCCCAATAATACCCCTTTTCCCAATAATTTTCCTCCATTTCTTATTAGTTGACCACTGATAGGTACAAAGAGTTTTAAATAATTCCTAATCCACAGAACTTCATAAAGTCCCACTGAAAATTTATCGAAAATTTGACAAATACCACCACCATTATTGCTAATCTTAAGCTTAAAACCACCTGCTATTTTTATTGACAGGCATACTAGTAAATTTACTAGTTTATTAACTACACTTGCAATAATATTAAATTATGAATTAATCAATAACACCAAAGCCATTACCCCAATACCATGACTACAAACATCTTAACTCTATCCGTCTACTCCACTAGCCTTCACCATGTTGCACTTACATCATAATCACCCCTAGTTACCGATGCAACATTGCCACCCTTCCATTTAGTCACTACCATCATATCGACGACTGGCACCACCATTGCCACCAATTCATTTTCATGCACATCACATGTTAACCATTCACTTGTTTCTTGCACCAAAAAGTTAAGAATGTCAGAAATCAATAAGACCAAAAGCTCAATTTTTCAAGAAAATAATGTATGTCTTGCTATTCCTATCAAGCATAATGTCTATCAAACCGACCAAACCATTCCCCATGTCTGTGGGAACAAATGCAGATGGAGATACTTTAATCCAATGCTTCCTAGAATCAAAGCTGCGATACCATGTTAAAGTACAACTTACATCAGGTTCTCAAACCCATCTCGCGTGCAACAACATACTAAAGAGACTTACACAAATCATCAGAAAACAAATACAAGTGGAGAAACTTAAAACAAGATCCCCAAAAATCAAACTTCTTAAACCATGTTAAACAACCAGTTGCCTTAAAAACAGACAGTTAAGAAATCATCTTAACAATGTACATCAAGTTCTCAAACAGAATTTTCATAATGCGCTATAATAATCATTCATGGGAATTAAATGACCTAAGAGCAGATTCATCCTCATAGCCATTTGTTTATGGTATGACCATCTGATTGCTAATAATATAAAGACGCTACCAAAAATAGTAATTTGATCTCGATCTGTCTTTCTCTGAAAGAAAAAGGAAGAAGTATTTCACTCAAGTGACCACAAGTAGAAATTTTTCTGTGTACGAAGGAAAGGTTAAAAAAAATCACGTCATCAACTGATATACATATATTCCGTTGGGAACTTAACAGCAATCGGGGTAATATAATATACCAAAAACTGAAAGCATAAGAAATTATGTAATCATTTCTCACCATTTCTTATAAAGCGTCGACTCCCATGTTATACATAAACCTGCAACAAGCATGGAACTTATCTTTAAAGGTACCCATATGATCACTAATGATCCTTAATGGCCTGAAGAGATTGTTAACTCATATCGTAGAGCAAACTGAAAATTATTTGGGAGCATTTTAATTTAACTTACAAACGTCTATGGGCCCATCTATGAAGCCTTCAACAAGTAGTGTATGAAAGGGAGTGCCTTCTGGTCCTTCTCGATACATAACACGGTACTCTTCATTATCCTGTTTTAACTGTCAAATGAAGTAGGATAATCTCCAATGTTACTAGTGCCCCATTCTACAAATACATATACAGATCTATATAAAATGCAAAAAATATATGTATGTTATATATGTGTGTGATGATCAAACACCAGTTAGTCAGAAACTAATTTATAAAGGAAATGAAGAGGCGTCAAGAATGCAAGTTTGAGGCTGAGCATAACCAATTTTTGCAAAATAATGCCAAAAGTTTGATCTAGTCCCCAATATTTCCCTTTGAGCAACCATGTACTAAAGTAGTAATGTTCCTTTAATTGTCCTTTATGTAGGGATGTAAATCTAATCCATCCTGATGGGTTCCCACCCCACCCCTACTAGGATGGGTTTGGGCATGTGTTAATTGGGTTAGGGGCGGGTTTGGGGAGGAGAGTCAAAACCAACTCACCCCAAACCCGCCCGAAATGGTTCAGAGCATTATTGTCAAACAGTTGGTCATGTCATTTTTTCCCCATTATTTTTACGGTTTCCACCTATACAATTAAGAAATTTATGCATATAATTGTTGGACTTTGTTCACACTTATATATTTTTAAAAGAGCATGTTGAATTTGTTTAGAATTGAAACTTATTTTTTTCCAAAAAAGCTTGTGCATAGCACCCCGAACCTCAGCCAGGGCGGGTTTGGGAAGGAATTTTTTTTTTCACAGGACGGGTTTGGAATAGGGGGTAACCCGTTCCAATCCTGCGCTGTTGCCATCCCACCCTCATTGTTGAATTCTTTGCAGTTGTATAAATCTAGAATATTAGATTACAAAGCAAATTGTCAATATTTTCAAAATTTTGTTAAATTTCTAAATCTCAAGGTAGAAGAGGGTCTCAGGAATGGCCTTATCATACTCGGGTCAGTCACAAACAGAGTAAAGAAAGACCATTTAATTCACGAGTTTACTTGTCAGCCATTTTTCCACTTTACGATGCAAAATTGGTGGAAACAATAAAAAGAAAGTTAATGTTGGAACTAAGATTATTCATAGTGGGCAACATACTTTCCAGCTACCATGTGGTGTCTCTTTGGTTTTCACTCCCTCATCAACATTTGCAGCACTCTTCAACAAGTTCAGGATATCTGATACTCCCTTGGTTCTTTTTTCTACTACACTGTCGAAATATTCTGCAAACCAAATGTATCTACAATTACTGTGTTTCCAAGGCACACAAATAGCCTTCTTATAGACTTATACAAGAATATAAAATTAATATGATATGAACAGTTAATGATTAACCAACCTTCAATTTCACCTTGCGATGAGCATGAGCGTAGTAATTGATTCTTAACTAGAGTCTTAAGTGTTTGTTCATTTGCAAGATCATGAGATGCCAGTGTCTTGTCCAGCCTCCCTCGGTATGACAAGATGTTTTGTTTGTCCGCCATTTGAGCATTCCCGAGAAAGCAAGAAACAGCCCGCTTTCAAAAGGTTAAGTGAGAAATGTATGCAAATTGCTATAATTTTTTTGTGTCATCACCTGAATTTGAAAATAGACATCTTATTAATAGATGAACAATGACTTAGTGTCTTATGTCACTCCTTGCCTATTAAATAGAAATAATAAGCCAGCAATAATAGATTTATCTCATACATAAAGGGTTTTTAGCAAACAAAACAAAACCCAATATAGAAAAGGTCATGTAGGTGACAATAAATCTATTTTGGCATAATTCCCTAAACTTGAAAATAGATATAGAATAGAAGGGTGAATAATAAATTAGGAAGCCTTTTCATAATTTTCCATGCCAAATAGCTATAAAAAAACAAACAATAAATACTTAAAACCATAGACATAGCATCTGCAACAACAGATTGGTGATGCTCACTGGATATGCTCTTTTTAAGAACAAACACTTGTTCTCTTTCCAAATCATTTAATGATCCACAAAATTTCCAAAAAGGCAACTCTTTTTTTTTACTGTCTTAGCATATATAAGCCAACAAAACTCAAAATGAACCAACAACCCAATTTATACATTTTTATTGAAGGAGCTTTTAATGCACACAATACTAACATTCAAATCTCAAATCATACAAAATCAGATAATAATCACAAAACCATCACCACCCAGATGAAAAACACAACGCACTGGCATAAAAAAACTTCATCACCATTCATCATACACAAGTCAAAACTAAAGGCAGTAATTAAATTTCTTCAATCCTCGTACAAATACAACATATATATATATATATATATATATATATAGCACATCAAACCTCAACTCACCTGTACCTTATTGAAGACTTGAGTACTGGAGCAAGTAGTTTGGAGTTGTGAGCATGAGCTAAGATTGAAAGGAGGGATTTATGATAACCCAATTGCAGATCTCAAAAGAAATGATCGCAAGAAGAGACAACAGCACCTGATATGTGACCACCCAGACGCATATAGAACATGGGTCTCTCTAGAACGTAACGATTTTGCAGACAAACAGCAGAATAACCAATATATCAACAGCTTTCTCCAAGCTCTAAAAAATAATACTACTTTAATAATCGTATATACATACATATATTATGTTAAAATATGTGTTGGGTATGTGAGAATGAGATAAGAAGGTTTAGGCTTTATCAACGGTTATGAGGAACTTCAGAAATTGTGAGTCATGTGACATGCGGTACAAGTAGAGTCAGTCCTAATAACCAAGGCAGCCCCACCGAAGCAATTTACTGTAAAGGGATAAGCCAGAATATACCTAATTAAGACGGAAGAGAAATAAAATTAAAGTGACAGTTGGTTGGTAGACAGCTAGGCAGTAGGTTGTTTATTAAAAATTGGTAAAGGTGTACACGTGTCTTGCCTGTTTTCTACACAAAGTATGGGTGATGGTGCTAGATTCTGGGGACCGTCTGGACGTGCACGCAGACTTGAAAGGTACGTAGTACATTTTATGGGCTCACTTGGTTAATTGGTCACAACGTCACAACTAGTAATAAAAAAATTTAAATTCATACCCCACCAATAATTAGCATTGATGTAACAGACTATGTAATCCTGGTTCACAACATTCAATACATCTTATTGTGAGATTTATACGCTTTTTACTATTAATTATTGTGAGATGTTTTATTTTTGGAAAGTTGAAATTGACATTCGCACTTTATTTTTATATCATTACATTTCAATCTTAATAGAAATAATAACTCTAATCCTAACTTTAAAAAATTTATAATTATTTTCTCAAATATCACAACTATTATTTTCTATTATGAAATAACAACTTTAACCATAGCTTTAAAAATTCAAAATTATTTTTCTCAAAAATCATAACTATTCTTTTCCGTTAGCTTTAAAAATTCAAAATTATTTTTCTCAACTATCATAACTACTCTTTTCCGTTATGGTAAGATTTTTTTGTTTTCCTCTTTTTCAATTAACGTTTTCTGAATTGGAAGTTCAAATATCCAATTTGGAAGGTGACATTATATGATGGGGCTCATCTTGACTCACATATTATCTATTTGACATGTATAATTTTAGAGGAAGTATAATTACTCTAAAATTTTAAATAATAAGTTCACAATATTCAATGCCAGATAGTTTTTATTGTCAGTTTTATACGGATTTTTACTATTCGTCAGATTGTGAGAGGTTTGCCCTTTTTTTTTTTTTTTCTTTTTTCTTTTTTACCTTCTTATCTTGTTACTTTAATTTAGATGTTGTCAACCGTCTTTATTGTTTAGGTATTTATTATTATCTTTAATTATTACTAATAACTTAATAAGTCTTATCCTCAATTACCAAAAAAATATAATATTCAGTTTAAATCATTTAGTTGGACGACATTAATTTTTTTTCATTATTAAATTAATACATCTCTAATAATTTCTCATATAAACATTAAAAGACAATGCAATTTTTTTAGTAATATTCCTAGCATATGATTTGTATATATTATGCTTAGTAATTTTACTATAAGACAATAATTTCACTGCGCAAAATGCCAAAAAAAAAAAACAAAAAAAAACAAAACATGTGAGAATATACTTAATTTTTCATCTAAGTCTATATGTTTGTACTATAATTTTGCTCTGATAATTGGTAATAAAATAGAAAATTTTCAAAAAATAATTCATTGTTGAGTCATATTTCTTTAATGAATGGTTAAGTTATTATTGAATAGTTTTTTTATTTTTTTTTCAAACACGTGTCGATTTCATAACACATGCACCATTTAAGCCAGAAGTACAATTTGAAAGTAAAACCTCAAAAAACATGCATTTCGAATCCCTACTAAAGCGACTATACACCTTAGACTACTAAATAATATAGTATGTGTCTATATATATATATATATATATATCTAATATATATGTATATATGTGGAGACAATAATTGGTTTCTATACTTTTTTTTCTACTAGCATGGGTGACACGATATCTGTCACTTGTCTCTTTCTTGCTTTGTTCTACACTTCTACTCTTGCATAGAAGTAATACTATATAATAAATGTTGAATAAATTAAAATTGTAGTTCTAACTTCTAACAACCCTCGTTTTGATGATAATCAATGTTCTTTGATAATAGTCAATGAGTCAATGTCTATCATATGCATAATAAAAATTTGTAAGAAATGGAAAAAGTCATTTCTGTATTTTTTTTTTTTCCCCCTCAATACAAGGACCAAACACTATGACTGACACACACAACACCAAAATTTGCGTGATAAATGCGTTTCGTGTAAGCTACTACCTTGCATAACTGACAATGATAGCCGATCTTGGTGTGAATCTTGTATAGCATGTCGTATGAAAAGACTTAAATAGGAATGAATAAATAAATAATTAACTCAGCTCTTCTCCGAATCATAATATTATTGACAACTTTAATACCCAATTTAAAATCAATATGAGGTGATTATTCTAAAATTTCAATTTATGTTTGTATCATCTTCTTCTCTAAATTTTTTTTTTTTTTTTTTTTTTTTTTTTTTGGGTTTTCACATCAAGTTTCATGGTACTCAAATTTAAGGATTTGATTTGTACAAAATTTACAACAAAAATTATTTTAATTATCTTACTGTTTTTTATTTCTTTCAAAAAAATTTTTTTTAGCTAAATTCCAATTCAAGTGTGTGAGTTGCTGAAGGGGAATGATCGTGGAAAACAAGTATATAAAAATACTAAAGGGGGTAAATAAGTTTGACTTGCCCTTTTATCTTATTTTGCCAAATTTAATTTTTATCAAAATAAAACTAATGATCAAAAAGCAAAAATAAAGTACAAATAATGTAAAGCAAGAGTTAGAGTTTGACACATGGATTTTAGTTAGGAAACTTTAATAGGAGAAATTCATCCAATTGAGAGAAAAATCTCAAAGATTTTCATGATGTCTCAGCGAAATGATTCAAGATATTCGAAATAAAGTATAATGGACTCTGACTTAGGCTCACAATCTTTTTCTTTCGTAGCTTGATAAATTCCTCATTTCCTTCAAATCTGAATTGATGAAGGTAAAAGAACAGTTTTGTTTTTTTGAACCGTAGCAATGGATCTCTAATAACTCGAAATCACCCGTAGCAATGGATCTCTAATAGCTCGAAATCGCGCGCGTGTGCTGCGGACTCTCAATCTGTTTTTCAATTTGAGCACTCAACCGCGACGAGAGACATCGTCTTGGCTTCCATTGTAATACCCCTAATTTTAAAAGGATAGTCTCGGTATTTATTTATTTATTTTTATTGTCTTTTTTTAATTGTTTAATTGATTATTTGACTAATTGTTTATGTGTTTAATTGAATTAAGTGTTACTTGATTAATTGACTACTTATTTATGTGTTATTTGTATTTTGTCTAGGTGTTATTTGTATTATTTGTTTAATTAGATTGTGCGCTTAAATGATGTATTTGATTAATTGTAATTAATTGTAAATTAAATGATTAAATGTTTTATTTTATTTTATTTTATGGTTATGGTTAGTGGTAATGGGCTAACTAATTGGGTCCCATGAACTACTTAGATAGGAGGTTGGATGGGTATAGATAATTACCCATGGATAGTTGTATATGTATATATATATAGATATATATGTATATACATATATATAAAGGAAAGTAATTTATTAATATTATAGTAACTTTAGTATTAATAAATAATCTGATGTATATATTTTATATATTTATATAATAAGGATATACTTATATTTTATACGTAACATATTTTAAGTTACCTTTTTAATATTATGGTAACTTTATTATAAATAAATAATGTGATGTATATATTTTATTTATTTAATGAGGATACAGATAGATTATATACGTAACATGTTTTAAGTTACTTTTTAATATTATGGTAACTTTAATATAAATAAATAATCTGATGTCTATATTTTATTTATTTAATGAGGATATACATAGATTATATACGTAACATATTTTAAGTTACCTTTTAATATTATGGTAACTTTAGTATTAATAAATAATCTAATGTATATATTTTATTTAATTAATAAGGATATACATAGATTATATACTTAACATATTTTAAGTTACCTTTTTAATATTTTTTATTTTTTTATTAAGTTGACTTTGATTGAAAAAAGGAATAGGGTTATTATTTAGCCTATAAATACACAACTATAGGTTGAAAAAGGAGTGAAAATATATCACGTAATATATTCTAGAGAGAGAGAGAGTTAGAGAGAGAAGGAGAAAGAGGAAGGAATGAGGAGAAAACCCTTTAGAGAGAAGATCAAGGAAGAAGAAGTTTAACTTTCAGTCCGAAAGTTTAAGGCAAGTTCTTCTTCTATCTCTTTCCCTTTGATTCGTGTTTCTGTACATGCCTAGGAAATTTCAGGATTTATTAAACACATAAAATTAAATAATTATGCATGTTTAATTGGATTAGAACATAGGTTTTATGAAATTGGTTTATATCTGTTCTTGTGTTATGAATTGATAAATGTATGATTTTGATTTGATTTCCGGTGTGAATTTTTATATATTTAAATTATGTATTTTTCATATCTGTGGAATGATGGAACGTAGAAACATGCCTAGGATTCCTGAACATTAAATAGGAACTAGGTTTGGGTTTAAATAAATTTAAGTAGACTCAATCATAATGATGCTTGCTATTTGAATGTTTTAAACAAATAAATGGATTTAATCTTTTAAAATATTTTAGCAATTGAGATTAAATGTGTAGGATGAATTGGATATAGAGAATCCTTATTTAACGGTATAATAAAATATCATCATGTATAAGATTCAGTTTGTGTAGGACATGTGATATAAGAAGTTTAAAGAAATAATAAGTCATTCCTATTATGTGATAACTTGATATCATATTTATCATAGTTATTTATGGCATGTTTGATGTATTTCCTTAATTGTTACATCAATTGTTGGATTGTGTGGTTTAATGCACCGGTGGCATTCTAGGGATGGATTAACTTATCAGTTAAGTCCTACCTATTTTATAAGGGAATTGATTAACTAAAATGTTAAGTCCTACTTATATTCAAGTCAGGTCAGCTAAACAAGTTGAATGACTTATGGAGGATTAATTTATTATATAAGGGAATGGATTAACTAAAATGTTAAGTCCTACTTATATTCAAGTCAGGTCAGCTGAACAAGTTGAATGACTTATGGAGGATTAATTTAT